TGGTTGCCAGCGTATGACTTCTGCTCCCACACCTCTGAACTCTGTATATGGTTAAATCCAATAGACTCCCTGCTGCAGAGTCAAGTGTCTCTCCTGCCCTTAGGGAAGTGCAGTGTTTCACCAGTGGCCTGAACAAATACAGGTTGAAGCCCTCTAGACCAGGACTGTCTGATGGACCACGGATGTTCCTGGACCGGAGAGCCCCAGCATCCGGGAGTCCAGTGGCGGGGAACTCTGCCGGGATTGGGAGCCCTGCCAGGCTAGCAGTAGAGGGGGCCAGTGACAGAGAGCCCAGAGGAGCTGGCATCTGGCAGCGGTGCTAGGCCAGTGGCAACGCTTGGGACTGGTCGGGTCCTGAGAGTGCCAGACAAGGGAGGTCCAACCTGTACCGCACCTTTGCAACAGAGATGCCAAGCAGAGTTTTCTCAGATCATGTCCTCCTGAGGTCTCTTCCAGCTCTACAATTCTCTCTCCACATGCATGATTCTGTCTCTGCACCACCCTGCAGTCACTATGGCTGATTATTGAACAGCTTGATACAACGTTTGTCCTCAGTTTTCTCTCACCCTCTTTGGTCATGAAATAGGGCTGGGGAGCTAACAAAACCAGGGTTTGTCACACCATTTCTGGTATTCTTGGCATCTGGCTGGCTTGGAAGTATTATAGTTCATAAAGTATTTCAACATTTCTGCATCTGGACGGAACCAGGAGCAGGAGGGGAGTGAAAAGGAAATGTACAGGAAGCTATGTACAGCTTTTCTGGACTTCATCAAAGTGTTAGGTTTAAGGTTTGTGTCTCCTGCTTTCATAGACGTTAAGCAATGAAAGACCACAATGATCACTTTGTCTGCATGACACAGGCCAGAGAGCTGCACCCAGTGGACCCTGTGGCAAGCCTACAACTTCTAGTGGGAACTAGAACATACTTTAGAAAAAACACCCAATTTTCCTTGAAATGGTTTGCTCATCTCCAGCCATAGCACCCATGTTCCACCTGCATGCTGCTGTGCCTAAATTGTCTGAAAGTGTTTGACCCAGGAATAAAACGTCTACTGTGCCCACCTCGTTAATAGATGTCTAGCAATAACTTCTTGTATTCCAATAGAATCTTTCAGCCTAAAGGATCCCAGTGTTGTACCATAGCGTCCAACCAGTTCTGAAGCGGGGGGCTACTGCTATAGCGGACTAGCCGCATTCAGTCGGCCAAATAGCCACATTGTTCAAGCCAACTAGCCACACTCAACCGGCCAACTAGCCACATGTGGCTAGTGCCTAGCGTGTTGGACACCACAGGGTATAGGAATGATTGCTGCCACCCCAGAAATGGGGTTATCGGCACCTCTCAAGTGGAAGGTGGGATCTCACAGCCCCCCCTACCCCCACCTCATGACAGTCTGGGACAGGAATTAGAACTAGATAGAATGGAAGACTTTTCATTCATTCCCAAGTTTTACTTTGAATCTGAGGTTTGAACAAACCCCCAAGTCAGAGAACACAGTCACAGCTGACAAGCTTCGCCTCGGTTATGTCTGAATTCTTGCAAAGCTTCTAGTTTCTATTGTTTTGAACCATAAGTTGGCCCCCGTTTGCTCAAAACTGGTTCCAGATTTGTGCAAACCTCTCAACACGCTTATTGTTGTGTGTATTACAGTAGCACCTAAAGGCCCAACAGCCTGTTGTGATAAATGGGCCTAAAAATTTACCTCAATTGTGAGTTCAACTGTAAAAAGCCAGTGTGAGTCCATACGTTGTTAAAAGAACTTATGAGAACACATTAGAGGAAAAGCTACAAAAGGAAGTCTGAAGTAGTCCAAACAAAAAGGTCTCCTGATATAACTCAAGGACTGTGTGAAGTTCAAGCTTAAGAACTTGGACAAGACCAGTGAACCAAACTGGGGTGTTGGAAACTAAGCCTCATTGGTGAATAAAATAATGAGAGGATGTTATTCCACCCGCCTCTCCCTTTGTGGGTCCTTAAAGAAAGGGATTTGTGGGAGAAGCTTCACTGTCATGGCTACCATCTCCACTGTCTCCCAGGAGTCTGGACCTTTATCATTTTTACCTGGAGAGAAATGATAACCTGACCAGGAAACATCACCGCCTCTACCAGCTCCAGCTGAATCCCAGACACTGCTTGGGGTGCCATGGAATCAGACTTTAACAATTGCAGCCCATCTTAACTAACATCTTCTTTTTTCCCCAAGGCACGGTCATTGCCACCCGGGTAATACCCGGGTACCACCCAGGACCTTTTCCCTCAGAAGATTCTCGCCAGCTAAAAGGGAAAGGGAACCAAATGAAAGCCTTGCTTAATTCTTTGTATTTCAAATACTTTGACAGTTTTTTCCTTCTTTTCTGAATCTTTAATAAAAGGTTAAAAGGACTTTTAGGATTGTGTTTGCCATGGGACTAGCCCATATATTCCACTAGCCATCGTGACAGGCACTGTGGCGATGGAGCGATTTGCCTACAGTCCCACCACTGGGCAGTGACAGAGCAAGAAATGAAACCCCGATCTCTGGACTCTCTACCAGTGCCCCATCCACTACCCCACACTGCCTTCTGGGCTTTAGGGTCAAGTTTTTGATGGTGGTGAAGCCAGGGGAGTTTTGAGTGGTTGGCCGGTTACTCCAGGAAAGGTTCACACTGCTCGCAGTGACTAATCCTATAGCCAGGGCTGCTGGTTCAGTACTGAACAGCGCCACCTACTGGATGTGTGGTAGTGAGCTTGGCCTGCTGCAAGAGCCCTTTGCGATGTGTAGCACGTTTGCACTACTTGGGATGTAAATGTTCACCATCACCAGAGGCAAACACACCCTGACGCTGGACCAATGGAGATGTGCACTGTGAGACGAGGGCAACTGTTGGGAATAGTAAACCCGCCACTGCAGAGAGAGAGGAATGGTCAAAGAACTGAGCAGGTGGGAGAGCGCCAGGCACTCACAAATGCTAGTCCTTGCTCTGACGCCGGCTCCTTCTGTGACTTTGTGCAAATCCCACATCCGCCTCTCTGTTTCAGTTTAGAGGCAATTATGACCCCTAGCCACTCACAAGGGTGTCACAAGGGTTACTCGGTTAATGTGTGGACAGGACTTTGAAGAGGGAAAGTGCTGCATTAGTGTGGATTATTATTTTTTTGCATCTTCCTCCCAAACATGCTGTCCCCCTCTCAGAAATGTACCTCCCGCCTGGAGGTTCCCTTCCCCATCGTTAGACATTGTCCTTTCCGTCCAGGTCTTGAAATGCCTCAAAGTGGGCGAGTCTCATTATCCCAGGTTTGCACAAGGCACCGCAGTCAAAGGTCTTACCCACGACGGGTGAGCAACCAGCCCTCCCCAGAGACAGGATCAGAACCCAGCGTCTCACTCTGCAGCTCCTGCACCCTGCGCCCGCCTACGGCTGCTTGGAGAGCGGGAGTCACCCGGGCACCTTTCGACGATGTGAATGGGTCTCCTAATAGGAGCTTCCCCCACTGCCCTTCCTTCCAATACTTCCCTAGGGGCCTGCTACAGAGACACAGAACATGGAAACAGCCTCCTGGCATCAGGTCACCCTCTTCGTTCTCCTCGAGACTGTTCCCTGTGAAGCTTTGTCCAGTGGAGTTAGAAAAGATGTGCAGAGGGGCTTCTGCTTCTTCCCATGGGCGGCTCTTCCCCAGCCTAATAGATTCCTCTGTTCACATCTTTCACCCCGAGGAAGCCTGTTCTACTTGTGCTGCATATAAACATGGTTTAAATATCCTCTGAGCAGGAGAGGCCAGTAATCAGGGAGCCCTTTGCAGGCAAAGTAAAAAAGAAATGGTAAAGACGAACTTGGTTGCAGTTGGGCTTCGGACTGCAGCCGTTGGATCCATATTTCCAACCACCACATCAAGGGAGACCCTTCGGGGTGGTTGGATTCAGGGCCTTCACAGAGCATGGCACGGCCCAGCTAGATTGCTCGGTGGTGTTTGGCACCACTGCCCATGGGAAACTGTTGATCCGGCTGTAAATCCGGGGCTTGACTGTACCATTAAGAACATGGGTGGAGGAGATGTGGAGCAGAGCCACCTTATCCCAGTGGCAGCTCTAGGAGGGGCCGTACCAACTCCTCCAACAAAGCCTGGGGTGGATATGCAGGCTGCACCATCCTTCTGGGAGGTGCTGGGCACTCTCCTGTCTGCATAGAGACCAGGCATGTCCTCAGCCCCTCTGGGGTCCCCTGCTTAGGATTGCAAGGAGGGAGCATTCTCCTTTGTGCAGGGATTGAGCCAGTTCCTGGGTGAGGACACAAACAGAGCTAGGCTCCCTGCTTCCCACCTCCAAATGGTCTATTCCAGATTAGACCAGGCTAGATCTGAAACAGCCAGTAGCAATGGTTTCCGGTGCCCTCTGGGCATGTATTTACCGTGAATACTCGGATGGCAAGAGTTAATGAAGCAGCAAACCATTGTTTTTAATGATTGAATTGAAGGTGTTCCTGGCAGGAGCTGGGGGTCCCATGCAACCCCAGCTGCCACAGCTCCTGTTTTAGCACCTCACTGAGTGTGATGTTACAAACACAGCCAAGACAGAGGTGTTTATTATGCCCTGCCTTTTAGACGTGTGCCTGCAACTCCAGGGGTATGGATTTCACACCAGAGCTAAGCCATTAGGGGACTCCCAGCTCTCTCCTAGTGTCAGTGGGGCACGGCTGGACGGCAAGCCAATTAGCAAAAATGCACTGGAAAGAGGATTTCTTGGCAAGGGAAATGGATTGCAGGTGGATTTTAGGGCCCTTTTCAGCATCATTTTCTCCAGTTTTCTAGCTCATGTTTCCCCCCATGCATCTGAAGAGATTTAAACCCCAGATTTCCCTAATTCTAGCCAAAATCTGAGCCTCTGAACCGAGGGAGTGGAACTGGAGTGACTGTCCAGCAGAACCACCATTTTCCTGGTTTTAGTGCTCTCGATCTTCTTTTGCATGACTTGACTCCTCCCTTTGGCAGAGGGTCACTCTTTCGGCGCTGTCCTGTTTTGCAGGGCAGCATGTCCAGACCCAGATGAGTTGCCACAGACACCGCAGCACCGTGAGCAGGATTTCATGACCCCCTCGCTCAGCCGGGGCAGTCCCGTCATTCCGGCGTGAGGCTTCGAGGTCAGAGCCATCGTCTTCTTCCTCCACTTGGGAGGTTGCCTGAGGCTGCGTGGCAAGGCCGCCCGGTCAGTCGAGACGGTAGGTACCCACTGTTTCTCATTTTTTCTCCTCTTCCTGTAGGGTTTCCTGTGCTGCAATGGGAAGGAATAGCCAGACCCCTGGGCATCCCTATGCTTTCCCTATGAGGAATGAAAGCTCCCAAGCCTGGCTCTGCTCCTGCCCGAACGTGGGGGTTTCCCCTGTCCACCTGGTGCTTCAGCCGGGCTTGGGGAGTACAGGCGGGGCTAGCCCTGCTGCACTCACCTGGCGCCCTGCCAGGGACGGAGCTGGCGGTGGGTACGCAGAGGGGAACGTGAGCGGGTGTGCTGCTCTGGCTAGGAGCCAGCGGGCGGGGGCACTCTGCTGCAGGCAGAGGCACGGCGGGACTCAGCCCAGCTCCTGGGCTCTCCTGCAGCCGGCAGCCAGACAGGTTAAAGGGGCCGGCTTGGGGTGCACTTCCCACTGGGCTGAGACAGCCCCAGCCCCGAGCCCTCCCCCGGTGCCATTTACGGAGGGTGGGGGATGAAGCTCCCCTCCCCCTGAGAATTATAACAGGACTTTGGTCAATCTAGAGCCACATGGTGATTAGAGGCCTACTTAGTTCCCTTTGCATGGGCCTCCACCACACTGCTTGGGAAACTCCCTCCGGCCTGCTCACCTGGCCCCATTCTTGTCTAGGGAAGCTCAGGCGGCTTATGGGGCCTTGGACGATCATGTAGCAAGAGAGGCTCAGACACTCCAAGCTGCCATACTCAACTGCTTGGGCCGGGAGCAGACTTTAGCCCCTTATTAGCTTGGTTCTTCTGGCTGGAGGCTGTTAATCTCGGAACATCCAGACTGTCAGCAAGTTACACCACAGGGTTGGGGGTGGGCTCCCCTGCTACACTTACCTCTAGTAGATATGCCCTTTGAGAGCATAAGGGTCTACCCTGTGGGCTTTTAAGGGTGCGTCTACACTGCACCTGTAACTCAAAGTAGCTTATTTCGTAATTTGGCGCAGTCTACACAGCACCAAATTTCAAAATAACCCACTATTCCTAAACATCCCTTACTCCTCCTGGAACAAGGTTTACAGGGACATCGGACTAGCAAGTCTGTTCCATTTCAAAATAACAGGCGCACTCACAAGATGCAGAATAGCTATTTCAGGGTGCCTCTTGTATCTCGAAATAGCGCTGCCGTGTAGCTGTAGCTTGGGAAAGTAGGCTCCTGTCCCAAACCGCTCCCCCACCAGCCCTTCGGTGGAAGCCGGAAGAGCTGGGGGAAGACAGAAGGCCCTGGTGGCTGGAGGATCCGGGGGAGGTGAGAGGAGGCCCCATTGGCATGGGGAGGGAGAGAAAGTCCCGCCGGATGGGACTCCCCCACCCTAAGCCCCTCCTCCCCCTGCAACCCTCCCACTCACACCCCTCCACTGCACCAGCCTCCATCCCTGAAGGACTCAGCCAACGCTGGGTAAGTCTTCTCATACTGCTATGTAAATCCATGACCTGCCCAGCCCTTGAATGCTGTATCCCCATCTCAAAAGGGTCTAGTAGAACTGGAAAAGGCACAGTGAAAGCAACAAAAATGATGAGGGGTATCGAACCGCTTCTGTATGAAGAGAGATCAAAAACATCAGGACAGTATATTTGAGAAAAGAGAGAACTTGAGGCTGGGGGAGTTGATAGAGGTCTATAAAATCAAGACTGGTGGGGAGAAGTAAATAAGGGTATGTCTACACTACAGCACTAATTCGAACTAACTTAATTCGAATTAGTTAATTCAAACTAAGCTAATTCGAACTAGTGAATCTAGACCTAAAAACTAGTTCGAATTAGCATTCTGCTAATTCGAACTAGCATGTCCACATTGAGTGGACCCTGAACCGAGGTTAAGGCTGGCCGGAAGCAGTGCCGGCAGGGCATCAGATTAGGACTTAGAGCATGGAGCTGCTGTCTCAGGCTAGCCGAGGGCTGTGCTTAAAGGGACCTGACCCCCACCCTGGACAGACAGTTCTCAGGGGTTCCCCACTTGCAAGGAGTCCTGGCTTGGAGTGCCCTGAGTGCCCACACTTGGCACATCACAGCACTCGGCCATCAGCCCGGCTGCACTTGCCACAAGCTGCCATCCGGGGGGGTCAATCAGAGGGCTACAGGAGAGTTTTCACCCCGAGGAGCCCGCAGAGCCACCTCAGTCCTCCCCATCGGGGGCTCGTACCCCATTCCTCCCTCACCTCCTTCCACTTACCCTTCCCTAGCCCCCCTTCCTGATGTACAAAATTAAGGACATGTGTGTTCAAAAATAGAAACTCTCTTTATTTAACAAAACTGGGTAGGGGGTGATTAACCTCTGGGGAGACTGGGAAAAGGAGGTGGGAGAGGGGAAGAGACAGGGTGGAAGAGGGGAGGGGAAAATCTGAGATGAGGGAGCAGGATGGGGGAAGCCAGGGGAAGAAGGAGGAGGGGAAGTATAAAACTATGGTACACCATATCATCAGTACTGTGTACAGATGTGGTCTCCTCACCTCAAAAAAGATACTTTGGTCTTGCAAAGAGTTCAGAAAAGGGCAACTAAAATGATTAGGGGTTCGGAATAGGTCCCATATGAAGAGAGGCTAAAGAGACTGGGACTTTTCAGCTTAGAAAAGAGGAGACTGAGGGGGGATATGATAGATGTCTATAGAAGCAGGAGTGGTGTGGAGTGGGTGCATAAAGAAAAGTTCTTCATTAGTTCCCATAGTAGAAGGACTAGATGACACCAAATGAAATGAATGGGTAGCAGGCTTCAAACTAATAACAGAAAGTTCTTCTTCACAAAGCAAATAGTCAACCTGTGGAACTCCTTGCTGCAGGAGGCTGTGAAGGCTAGAACTAGAACAGAGTTTAAAGAGAAGTGAGATAAAGTCATGGAGGTTGGGTCCATGGAGTGCTATTAGCCAGGGGGTAGAAATGGTGTCCGTGGCCTCTGTTTGTGGAAGGCTGGAGATGGATGGCACGAGACAAATGGTTTGGTCATTGTCTTCAGACCATCGCCTCCAGGGTCCCTAGTATTGGCCACTGTTGGCAGACAGGCTACTGAGCTAGATGGACCTTTGGTCTGACCCAGGACGGCCATTCTAAGCTCAGGGCTTAGGATCGGGGGTCTCACTGGATCACCCTGATTTTCATGCACACCTGCTCCTGGGTGGCCAGGCTGGCAGCTCTCCCGCCCCAGACGGCCCCCTTCCCGTGCCTAGTGCGGAGGTCATGAGCCGTGCCAGGTGCAGGGTCTGCTGGCTGGGTGCTGGAAGGCTTGCACCTGGCACGGGCACCGTAGCCAGCCCATGCCCCTTTAAGGGGTCCGGGGCCGGGAGGGGGGCAGACGAGTTTCCCTGGTGGTGCCCAGAGTGGCCACCAGGGCAAGCTGGGGAGGGCTAGCCTCCCACTAGTTCGAATTAAGTGGGTACACAGCCCTTAATTCGAACTAGTTAATTTGAACTAGGCGTTAGTCCTCGTGGAATGAGGTTTACCTAGTTTGAATTAAGCGCTCCGGTAGTTTGAATTAAGTTCGAACTAGCGGTTTGCATGTGTAGCGCCTATCAAAGTTAATTTGAACTAATGTCTGTTAGTTCGAATTAACTTTGTAATGTAGACATACCCTAAGGAAGTGTCATTTACCCCTTCACATAACGCAAGGACCAGCCGATGAAATTAGAAGGTAGCAGGTCTAAATCCAAGTGAAGGAAGTACTTCACACTGTCAACCTGTGGATCTCATTTCTGGGGGACGTGGCGAAGACCAGAAATAGAAATGGGTTCAAAAAGATAAATTTGTGGAGGATGCGTCTGTCAATGGCTGTTAGCTAAGATGCTAAGGGACAGTCTTATGCTCTGGGTGCCCCATAACCACTGACTGACAGAAGGTGGGGTCGGGGTCCCTCGATAACTGCCCTGTTGTGTTAATTCTCTGTGAAGTACCTGGTGCAGGACACTGTCAGAAGACAGAATATTGACTCTCTGGACCTGTGGTTCGACCCAGGATGGCTGTTCTTGTGTTCTTCTGTCCTTCTGGCAAAGGGGGCAGTTACAATGGAAGGAGACCAAGCAGAAAGGGAAAGAAGGCCAATTCCTTAAAAGGCCTCCCTGCGGGGTGCAGGCGAGCTGGGCGTGCTCCGTGAACAGGTTGTAGTGGTGGGAGGGAGTTTTGTCATTAGAAATACAGTGTGGATGGCTGGGAATGTGATGACAGTGAAAACTGTGAGCTTATTTGCCTAGTGGGTGTGAAGGTGCCAGCTCTTCTGAGATATATACTATGGATTGTTTTTAGAGAGATCTCCGTGAGAGCCTGTGGTTGCAGTACGTGCTGTACCCGTGACATAGGGGATTGCAGGCGAGAGCTCCTGGAAGCTAAATTTAGATGAGAAGGCAAAAAGCTTAAATCTGGGTCTTTGATGGCAGCTTTCAGTGATGGGGAGGAGTTCCAGGGCTGGAGACAGCAAAGGAACTGGCAGGGTGTCACCGTGTGCCTGTGTGTGATGGGGTGAGGGGCAGCGGGCGGGCAGCATGCTCTGGGGGTGTGCTGTAAGGAGGAGATACAGCCACGTACCAGGTGGGCTGACTGCCCCGAAGGCTGGCTATGCCAGGGGGTGTGTTCAAGTGAAGGGATATGTAATCTGGCATTTGCCTTGTGCCCGGCACAGGGGTTGCCTTCAGCTAGAGACTTTCCGCAGCCCACAAGTTACATCTGAGCTGGGGGACAGAAACACCAAACAGGACGTGAAGATGAGCCTGTTCCTCAGCATTCCCGCAGGACAACGCAGCGACGCCGGGCCGCCAGCACCTCACCAGCCACGGCCTCTGAATGCACTGCCAGGCGCAGAGCTGCTACCACTCTGCCTTGCCTAGACTCTAGCGCTCGAGGCTTCCCACAAGCCCTTGCTGCCAGAAGTTCTCTGTTCCAGGAATCACATTCGGCCCTGACTGAAGTGACTGCCAGGCCTGTCCCAGTCAAAATGGCACCTGCTCATGCGGGGCTGTGGCCCCGAGAGGAGTTGGCCAGTCTTGTTCCCACCCTGAGGAGTGC